AAGAGCAGTATTTCGAAGCGGTACTTTTTCATTACCCAATCTTGAATGGGTGGAGTACCTAGGTGCCTTGTTGATGTACTTTGCATCTTTCTTAATTATTTATGGTATTTCTAAGAAGGTTCATCGCAGCTAGACTCAGCCAGACGGTTATCACATATCCAGGAAAGCGCTAGACGGCCGTTTCGTCTCCTTGGGACTCGTAATTAGCGCGCATAAGCCTACTCCTACTGGATTCGAACTCACGAACTTACGAGTCAGGGACTCATGCCACTGAGCCATGGGTGATGGCGGCGGACCACCATGACTGATATCTAGCTGCGATATAGCGTGGCTCATCATCCATTGCTCGTTATCGCCTTTATCAGTCGTCGCACGCCGTTCTTTATTGACCTGAGATGATGACGTGACGTCCTACCATTAAGTATTCCATCCTGCCTCACTTCGTATCGTCTTCATGTGAAGCAATCTTCTTCCAACGGGGTTTCTCACTGATCGCTAATCCCTACAATCCAACCACGAAGCCTCTTTATCTCACCTTTACGATATTCATCATGGGTGCGGCCGTCGCCTGCTGGAAGAAACGCTTAACTCCCTGAGGAGCTGCGGCACCCATTTTTGAATTTTAATCATGCTGTGATCACACGATAACGGACAGACGATGTGCAATGGAGACCTCCCTCTTGACTCATCCTGGCACAATTTCTAAAGTGAAATAATTAAGTGCAGTGCATAGACACAAAAGTCAACTTAAAGGAATACGATTATATATATATATATATATATATATATATATATATATATATATATATATATGATTGGCGGCATTCAGTTCCGCATTTGCCTGTCACCTTGGCCTTCACGGAGACAGCCATCAGACGCCTGCGTCCACCGAGGGACCATGGGTGGCTTGCGCTGCACCACCCACAGCTCCAACCACACACCCCATATCCAGTGTAAACCCGAAGGAATATGACCGGGAGGCATGTGGATGAGAGCCACATTTCATCAACGTAGCCGACCCACACTCCTTTACAGGAAAACACAAGCACGCTGTATTTGGGGAATCAAGTGCACACAAGGCGGTGGCTGGACCCTAGTTCACTCCACATTAAGTGCATGGAACCACTCTTCGAGCCTAACACGGTCACAAGGACCGTGCACCCCGTCACCTCTAGCAACGACAAACTGTCACCTGGAGCCAGTATGGACGATGTAGTGGGTAATAGACAGGTAGGCACCTTGTCAAGATGCACATCCGGTGCAGCCACCCCGAGGATATCAGCAACAGCCAATCACTTGCAATGACCATATCAAATAAAATAAATCGAATAAGGCAGACGAATTTGCTGTATAGTCTTATGTACTCCTCTTGGCTACGCCACACTCTGACGATCTGGTTTCAACTCTCCTAGTCGAATGAGTGTGTCTTGGAGATATTTCCCGCATGGCACGTTAACCGACAATATTCGAAGTTGTACGATTCGCGAACTTACCCGCAACACGATTTCTACACGCGTGTTGGACGGGCTCCTTGACCGAACGTAATTTTCACACGCAGCTACCCAACCCGAGAGATCAAGACAAAGACAGAGGCTTCGCGTTGGCACTTTTATTGTCCAGGCTCAAGACGATTATGGTTTAGTCTAGCCATTTGTTTTGCCTCGAATGTAACACATGGGAATTGTCACATAAAATAGTTTGCGTAGGCAGGCCCTGGGAGCAAGTCATAAGCAACTGAATTGGCGTCATGTCGAATCGTAAATGTTGGTAGATGCGGAGGCTGAACTGGGACAATGAACGTTTCTTTGTTAAAAAATGGTTGCATGTTTCATGCTTGTGGGGGTTGGCCGGAAACAGGAATGTTATCTGAGGTACAAAAGCTAATCAACATGTGAATGTCTCGCGAGTTAGAAGGCGGATTGAAAACAGGTACACTTGCCTGAATCGAGTTGTGATCATTATGGGAGCGTTGGGCCCTCAATACACATAGCTCTTTGGTAAATGAGCATATGAATTAAAATGGTTTCCAAAATATCCGCTATATAGTTTCAAGACATCAGCAAATATATTTTAGGAAAATGCCACAAACGTGAAAATGTTATCCATGTTAACTACAATTAGCTTGAGTGGCGCGTGCAAGTTAATAGACGATAGTTTACGTAGGCAATAATGAAGCGATATAGCAAATCCATCACCTGGAATAACGAGACCCAGTATGCAAGCACCGGATAGTAAATCGAATACAGCGTACCTACAAACTCTGCGCCGGTTCTGCCTACGTGCTCTACAGGGCTGGTTGTTTCTCCGACGTTGGCCCTGAGTGGCATCGCTTATGACTCACTAGGCTAGCCTGACTCAGGCAATCGCGGCCGCATGGGCTACAGCACATGCGCTCGATGTCGAAGGATTACAACCCATCGGCGCCTGCTGCTTTCGCATTCGTCGCTTCTTCTCCACATGCATGAGGTCTTTCTCCTGCACCTCGGCAACTGCCTTCGTGATCAAATCGCGACATGCACGCCAATCAACCGCCTTCGATTCCCATGACCTGTAAACAAGATTAGAACGTGTGAGCCACAATTTCATCCTGTCTTGGTAACGAAGCTTCGGTTTCCCCACATGCTGCTTCCCAATACTTAGCTGGCCATATAATAGTCGTTTCGGTATCCGCGTTGTATCCATACGGCTAACATGACCGAGCCAACTCCATCGTCTCATCAAAAGTATGTAGTCGACTGCATACATTCCACTTCGACGCACCGCTTTCGTGTCAGCAACTTTGTCCCACCAACCGATGCGCAGAATCTGTCGCAAACATTGTTGATGGAACAGCTCAAGATATCGTCCATATTGCCCTTAGGTCACTCATTTTTCACTGCCGTATAGAAGAACGGACTGCACCATGGATTTCTAGACCATCAGCCCCGTACCAACGGTAAGCTGATGGTTATTCCACACTCGGCACTCAAGCTTCCCGAATGCCACCGTTGCCTTCGATACGCGCATACAAAGCTGCCTGGGATGCTGCTGATCGCTCGACATCACACTGCCAATGTACCAGAAGCGGGAGCTGGTTTCCAATACTTCAGAATCAATGCGGATTCGCGGCAATATTGAAGGTTGCTCCTCAGGTGAAGGCTGAAGGAGACAGACAGTTTGCTTGTGTTGGTGGTGAGTACGCATTTTCCGCTGACGAAGCCAAAGCACTAGTCATGTGCTGCAACTCACACGCACTGTGTGCAAACAACGCACAATCGTCAGAAAACAGCAACATACGGATAGTCGTCTCACAGACTAGGGTTCTCGCATCGAAACGACGGATGTCCAGCAGACCACTATCAATACGGTGCTCCACACGAACGCCGTAAGCACAAGCCGCATCAAAAGTACAAGACATCATTGCATGAAGATAAATATTGAACAGGGCAGGAGCTAAGACACAGCCTTGCTTCACACCAGAGGCAACTGCGAAGTCATCCGAGGTCTCTCTACTCAGTTGCACACCAATGTTCAGACATTCAATTAAACTTACAAACTTACGCGGGCAACCAAACTTAACCAACACCAAGCACAATGTCTCGCGGTTCCCCGTATCAACTGCCTTGGTGAAATCAACAAAAAGCGAGTACAATGGCTGGTGTCGTTCTCTATACTTGTCTTGCAACTGACGAGCCGCAAACACCATATCTATAGTGCTGCGACCCGAACGGAATCCACACTGCTCTTCCGCCACGTTAGGTTCCAGAACCTGACTCATGAGGCAGCTGAGCAGGATTCGGGCAATAATCTTGCCCATACAACTCCGCAACTTGATGCCACGATAACTCCTTACACATTGCTTGCTCCATTTGCCCTTGTGCGGTGTTAGCACAAGGGCATCGTTCAGCTCGGCAGGTACCTCCTCCTTTTATACATATATATATATATATATATACATATATATATATATATATATGTGTGTGTGTGTGTGTTGGCCACCATCGTTTAGAAATGATGATCATGCAATCCACAACTTGAAAATTAGGAATCAACTGGTGGTCGGATTTATTGCACGTGGAGAATGAACCAGTAGTGATGGAGAAACAAAGAACTTAACCGTTTATTTACGTTTTCACACGCCCTTTTGGTCCTTTCCCCCCTTTTACGTTTGATGTTTTTGAAATCGGAAATTCTCGCCAACGTGCGCACATTGCTTCTACTGCAACCGGTTTTGCGCCACCGCTTCGAGCTTTGTAATGCACTTTCACTTTTCATCTTTGGTTCCCCAACTGGGAACACTTAAGGAACCAGCGTTGATTAGGCAAACTATGAATAATTTCGTCCTTTGCCGCCGATTTCTTTATTGGCCTTCAGGTGGTCTCTTCTTCGAGCGGAAATAGGCTGCAGTTTTAGACTCGTCCGGCATGGGTTCCACATAGCCAACCTCCTTTGATCCTTTTTCTAAAAGTTACTGAAATAGGATCACCCAATACATGAACACAGTTATCGGCCATTCTTCTCGGCGAAATATTGAGAAGTCGGCCAAATTTTGATTAACAAATGTCGCTCCAATCAATTCGTTAAGAACTGCCCTTTATAACTAGAATGGTTTCGGGGTCTTGATTTCTGATTTCTTTTGCCTCCCACGAAAATCACCTGTTTGGTTCATTTATAGGAGAATTGCTTTGCTGCACCTTCACTTCGCAAAATGCAGCCGCTTGCACAGTTCGGTCTTCTTTTGAACAATGAAGACCTGCTTGACGGTTGAACTAGGAGACTGCTCAAACCCGCTTCGCACTACTGGACTTTACCTCCATGCGTAACTAACTAATCATGCCTACTTAGCTGGTTCTTGTGTAAAAGCAGGAATTCTTATTATTGTTTTTGAGACAGATATCTTTTCATTTGTATCGTTATTGTAACAACTAGTCCTTTTCCACTACCAATGAATCACCATCTCATAATCACGTTGTTGTACGCGCTTGTTCGTCCAGTCTCCTTCACCCCGGTCCACCGACCCGATGGACTTTTCCCCGGCTCCTTCTATTTGGATCACGTGGATGGACAGTATCGACGTTCATACAAACAAGTGCCTCCCGATTGATGCCGGTGCACACGTACAACTCGGTGAGTGCGGGAGCGCAGTGTTCTCTTCGCTAACTGACAATGATACTAATGATGGGTATCTTTATCTTGACGAAAGGAACTGTTTGTAATGGCTTTGATCAACTGGTACAAATGCAGCTCTATGCTCTTACAAGGCCGATATGCATAGATGGAATATTAGGGTATACATTTCATGTAGATACGTTCTGGTCGATGGTTGATGCAAAAGCCAAAATTTGGAAACACGGATATTTAGATGTTTTTTAGACCCCTTTTGGAATAGCTTCTCGAGGGATTTTCCCATGTGAATTTAGCCGTTATGGGATTTAACTCAAGTTACTAAATGTTGCCACCTTGTCACCTGACCTGAGTGTAATTGATAGTTTATTCCACAGATAGCTATATCTGACCAGGAAGAAACTGGACCGAACGTTCGTTCTAGCCTTCGGTATATTCAGTGTAAAATCTTTGTTGCGAAGCGCTCGAGTTGAGCAATGTTGTAAATTGAGTGTAGGCAGATTGGAATAGGGCTTTTTGTGTAAATGTTGAAGAGCAGCAACAAACTGTGCTTCAATCGTCGAATCCAAAGTGGTTCGAGCCGACGCTCATTGCAACCTTCTCGATAGCTTATTGCAGTGCGTTTACCAATTAGATGTTGAGTGAATGAGCTCTGCAGGTTCTCCACAGCAATTCTGTCATTCTCTCATATTTCCGTATATTAGGCTGCAGTATTCGCGTAGGGGGCGAGTGGGTAGCTTGAAAGCTCAACTCTAGCACGAGTTGTGTGTATTTTGTTTGGTATATTGAACATAGACTGTCTGGCACGTGCTACTTGGTATTGGGCCTGTTCGGAGAAATTGAAGGTAGACGAGTACCTAATCCCAAGATCTTGCGTGGACAACTGCGTAGGGACGCGTTCATTGTTTAGGGTGATAGATGCTTCGGGGATGCAGCAGCCGTAAGACATGATTTCTTAGCCGAGAGGTTCATCACCCATGTGCAGCACCATGACTCAAGGGAATATAAATCATCTTGAATGAGCAGTAATGTCCCGTGAAGCTCGTCACGCAGAAACTTATAGACTAGTTTGATATCATCAGCAAATAAAAATGATGTACCATGTTTTACAGATGTGCTGATGTCATTGATGTAAAGCAAAAAGAGTAAGAAGCTGAGCACGCTCACTTGATGGATGTTGGATTTATTGATAATAAACATCAAACCCTTCTCCAGTAGTCTACGCTCTGTCTCACTCAACACTCTATCTGAATTATTAACTACGTTACAATATCTGTTGCTAAATACAGGCTAGTTTCAAGTGAAAAAATATCCCAGGCGTGGACATCAGAACGACAAGTTAGCGAACAAGCTCGTTTTCGGTGGCTCTCGTCAGGCTAAAACACCACAACTGATAGGAATAAGCTTAACATAAAACAGCAGATAATGGTAGAGTTCAAACTTCAAGGTCATTGGAAAACAGATCAGAAGTGATCGATGGACTATCGGCGGCATGTCCCTCAACGAGTCGTTGTGATAGAGGGCCAGGGCAAACACAGAATCTGAACGAATCGTTTTTGAGCACATAAGTCTGGGTTCTGGTGGCGGATAGCAATTGCCTCAGCTGTTGCTAGTAAGCGACATTTTACTGCACGTGAAAGACGTCCAGGTACACGGTAAATGGGTTGGAAAGATTGGCGGGTGTCGATTTGGTGATTAGAATCAACCAGGTGTGCCAACACGGCGCTCATTACAGTTTTTCTCCCACCATTGCGTAGGTTAGCTGGACAATGCTCGCGTATTCTCTCAGACAGCCTCCTAGTAGTTCTTCCGATGTATCTTGCTCGACATGAACAAGAGAAGGAATATACACTCTAGAAACTGAAAGCAATGACACGATGTCCTTCCTTGACGTTCATTTTAGTAGGAGACCAGATGGATCAGTCCAACGGAGGGTACATAGAAAAGCAACGTGGAACGGACAATATGTACATTTTGCCAGTTTTGTCCCAATAAATCAGAAACGCAACTTGATTAGATGTCTAACCGAAAGGGCCAGAATGATTTGTAGTGAGGACACACTTGCGGAAGAGCTCAGTTTCTTAAGTGGCGTTTTCGAGAGAAACGGCTATCCAGAAAAATTTGTTCGGAAATATATGGAATGCAGAGAAACGAGAGCTAAACCAGCTTCGGTAGAAAAGAAACCGGTTTATTTGTCGTTGCCGTTCAAGGGGATGGTATAGCGCAGGCAACATCTAGAAGATTATCCGACGCTATGAGCCATACGTACTACGCAGCGAGCTTGCGGCTAAGTTTTACTTCAACACCAATCGTGAGGCCCCAACTCAAAGACAGACTTCCTTGGTCATGTACTTCTTATTGTGTATATTCCTTCTCTTGTTCATGTCGAGCAAGATACATCGGAAGAACTACTAGGAGGCTGTCTGAGAGAATACGCGAGCATTGTCCAGCTAACCTACGCAATGGTGGGAGAAAAACTGTGATGAGCGCCGTGTTGGCACACTTGGTTGATTCTAATCACCAAATCGACACCCGCCAATCTTTCCAACCCATTTACCGTGTACCTGGACGTCTTTCACGTGCGGTAAAATGTCGCTTACTAGCAACAGCTGAGGCAATTGCTATCCGCCACCAGAACCCAGACTTATGTGCTCAAAAACGATTCGTTCAGATTCTGTGTTTGCCCTGGCCCTCTATCACAACGACTCGTTGAGGGACATGCCGCCGATAGTCCATCGATCACTTCTGATCTGTTTTCCAATGACCTTGAAGTTTGAACTCTACCATTATCTGCTGTTTTATGTTAATCTTATTCCTATCAGTTGTGGTGTTTTAGCCTGACGAGAGCCACCGAAAACGAGCTTGTTCGCTAACTTGTCGTTCTGAAATACAGGCTTACTAGTTGGACCGGTGGCCTTGTTACGTAAGGACATCAAATTGTGGAACTTACAGATTTGTCTTTTGTGGTCCTACCTTGCGTTGAGTTAACATCCGAAGCTTTGTTGTAAAGCCTGTCATAGTCTGCCGGCGTTACGATAGTCTGTAACTCCGAGCTCAGTCGATTTGCGTGGAAGCGGACTTCAGTCAAACGTCTAGTCGTCAGATAAATCCGTTGCTTCAAGGATACTTTACTTGCGCGTTTATGTATCAGAGCGGCGCCGTACGAAGCTACAGTGAGTGATTGAGCTTCTAGCCGTCAGTCTAAGTTTAGCTCGTTGGACGAGCACATGACCATCGAAATCAATCTCTGATTCTTGCCTCTATTTGGTCTGCAACAACACATTCCAGGATATCAAGTTTATCACTGAGCACAAAAAAGACAACCAATTAACATTCTTAGATGTACTGGTCCACAGAAACACTGACGGAACGCTCCAAACATATGTATATCGAAAGAAGACCCATACAGACCAAATATTAAACAACCACAGCAGACTTCCACTGAACTACAAGAAAATCTGCATTCAAAGCCTTTTCAGATGGGCACGACAGAACTGAGGAAGAAGGAAGAGAATCATCTATACGGGGTATTGCAAAACAATGGGTATCCAAGAAAATTCATCAGAAGAAGCCTAAAGAAAAAAGTACATCAACAACAGCAGGAAAACGTAGATAAATGGGTATCGCTTCCTTACATCAAGAACGTGTCTGAACTAACTGCGAGATTGCGACGACCCTATAGAATTTTGGTAGCCCCCAAACCAACTGGTACTTTGCGAAGATTGCTTTCAAGACCGAAGGACAAAGTCGAAAAAGGCAGTCAGAATGATGTCATTTACAAAATTAACTGCAGTGTGTGACAAACACTACATCGGGCAAACTAGAAGGAAACTTTCAAAACTGATCAACGGACGCATATTGGCCATACGCAGACACGACCCGCATTCACTGGTTTCCACGCATGAAGACCAAGAAGGTTGCCACTTGGACCTAGAGAACGTAAAGATCCTAGCCCGTGGAAATTCGAGGAAAGCTAGAGAGTTCTTGGAAGCATGGTATTCTACAGACAATTCAATAAACCGGCGCGTTGAAATCGACGCTATATATGCAGCACTACGGATGAAAGATCATCGAATTAGTGGGTCTAATCGAACGGAACAGAACCCCGGACAAATGCGTCAAACGACGAAACGATAACCGAAGAGGCACGCGCGCGTACGCTACGAGGCAAGAATCAGAGCTCGATTTTGATGGTCATATGCTCGTCGAACGATCTAAACTCAGACTGACGGCTAGAAGACCTATCACTCACACTTACTGTCACTTCGTACCACGCCGCTCTGCTACGTAAACGCGCACTGACGATGTCACCTCGGGTGGCAACGAAACGTTTACAGCCAAACTGCCGAGCTCAGCGAACATTCAGACAACCAACATTGAAGCTTGCGAAGAGACCAATGTCTAACGCTGCTTGAACCTGTTAAACATGCGCGCAAAAGACATTCCTTACAGTCCTTTGTATGTGGATACGTGTAGTCACGTGATGGATCTGACTCATTTGGCGTAAGGGACAATTGCGCGTGTGTGCTATGTCGAACCAAGTTTTACTGCGTTCCTCTCTAATTTTACTCGATGGCTGAGAACAGAGTCTGTGGACTCCTTTAGTAATTGGACGATCTTGCTCATCGGCGCTTTGGTGGATGGGTTTTTGCTCTACAGGCATTTGTAAGTGTTCCTTGCCCTCAGCGGTGAACCTTCGGGGCGTACCGTTTCTGGATTTCCTAAGGTGGAGTGTATCGAGCGGATTTCCGCAACTGTAGTCTCGGCGGTTCCGTGTGAAACTGCACGCACTTCTATCGATTTATAGTGGATGTCAATCAGCAGCGGGCACATCATTCCGCTGCCAAGACGTTTCGGTCCACTGGCATGGATGCATTAGGGCTTCAGAAATGGTTCACATTTTTTTCAACGACCGTTCCATATGCTCATTCCGTCGTATGAACTGGACCGGAGTGGGTGTGCTTTTCGCCTGTTGCTTGGGGTTGATAACTCCCACTGGTTCCGTGTTCATTGTGCTTCACTATTACGCGGAGCGGTTGAACGCATCGGGTTCATCTCAATGAGGAGCCTTGTACTTGCGGTTTGGTTGTGAAACTCCGCCGGGTCTGTCGGACCGCGGTTGGCGTTGTGGTGCCTTTTTAATTTTCACTACGTCCCTCTCATCTCTCCTACGTTGAATACCTCTGAATCATTGGGATGGCTCACGTCGAAATAATTTTGCTCTATGTTCATGACTGGACCATCTAGTAGATTCACACGTTCTGCTCCTCTAGAAAACTGGCGAGGTACATTCATCGGTTATTCCTCTCGGATTACCTTTATTCTCCTCGATGATGGCTTACTTTCCAAATTGCATTTGTTTGATTGTTTCTCCACGACAAGGCATGCAGCTCAATCACTTTACGATTGATTTACCTGAACTGTGCGCTAGCCGGTCTAAGCGGGCCTCGGACAAAGTAAGGTTAAATGTATGGAGTAGTATGCGACTTTCACTTTAGCCTTAACTTATAGTCCCGGAGTCAAGCAGTTCACTCCGAAGACGAATATCGTAGCCTCGACCAACCACCATTCGTTAATCGTCTGCACATGTGTTGAATCCGGTGATTTCGACTGACATGCCAGAGGCTCCGGGTTCGCGTGCCTACCATCAAGTAAGTTAGAATCCGTTCGTATAGTATATTGCTTTTTGCAGGCAAATCCCTATATCCATCTGCTTTATCAATTACTTTCCCAGTGACCGAGTTGACCAAAGTTCACTTCAATGCAAAATCGCGGTCCACAATGTGATTGCGCCTCGAAGTCCATTCACGCAACGAATGCATCAAAACGATCCCTCCAATCATTCCTTAACGGTTGTGCCAAGCGTTGTCGGTTGTGACCTGGTGGCCAATGGTCACGGATTCGAAGCCCGCTATCTCCACTTGATGAGATAAAATGAAATCGAAATGCGCCGTGGTTGTGCAGTGTATTCGGGCGGGCTACCTCCAATTTCCATCTGCTTCGGCTCCAGTACCTGTGGTCGCATCGACCAAGATTCACTTCAATGCAGTATCGCGGTCCATAATGAGATTGTGCCTCGCAATCCATTCACGCAACGAGTGCTTCAAAACGATCCTTCCAATCAGCCAGTAACCGTTGAGACAAGTGTTGCCCCACTTGACTGGGTAGAGATTCAGCCAACGTCCAAAAGACCCCGGGTTCGAGTACCTGCCATCTTCACCTGATGAGATCAGCTGAGTTCGAAATCGGTCGCGCATTGTTGTGTATCGCCCTGTGGTCGAAACTGTTACACGCTTGCCTTGTAATCCCGGAGGTCACCGTTTGGAATTCGTGCAGGTACCTACACCCTCACGCGAAATATGATGTCCGCGTGGCAATGCAGCGTCGGTACGGTGTGCCGGTGCACTGCTGTTGCCTCAGTGGCGTAACTTCAGTTGCTATATCTGTGTCCCTAGGGCTCCATAGTTCCATTTCCGCCAGTTGTAACCGAGAACACTCCAACTGAGGACGAAACCGGTGGCACGTTGCGGCATTGGGAGCTTACGACCCAGTGATGATCTCATTCCTGTCCAACTTATTTACCTCAACTCTTCTCATTCAGTCCGATGATTCAGTCTTTCGCTTCATTTTCTCTAATTGCCGTCCGCATACTTCACTCGGCAAGTCGTATTACGTAAGCGAATATTGGTAGCTCAGGCTGTTCAATTGGTGCTCGGAATCTCCGCTGAGCTCGGAAGTTTTTCTGCGAACGTTTCATCACCATTCGAGTTGACCTCATCAGGGCGCTATTATGTAACGGAGCGAAGCTGCGCGATGCGAAGATTTAGTGAGTGTGCGTCGCATAATCTTCTGATCGTTTGGGTGGACGAGCCATCAGTCTGAGTTCGAATTATCCGACAAGCACATAACCATCGAAATTGGCCTCTCTGATTCTTACCTCATAGTGTTCGTATGCGTATCTCTGCGGTTGACGTCGTCATCCGACGTGTTATCCGGGGTTCTTTTCCGTTAGTTTTAATTGATTTCGTTTGTAATCTTTCATCCGTAATGCTGCGTATATCACATCCAATTCAATTTGTCGGTTTACTAAATTGATTGTAGAAAACCGTTCCGCGCCGATACACACTAGCGCATTGATGATGTCACCTCGAATTGCGACGAAACGTTTGCAGCAAAACTGCCGTGCTCAGCGAACATTCTGGCCATCTACATTGCGTTGTATTGCAACACTAGGTTTCCTATTTCCCTGAAGCTCATTATTCCAGCCAACTCAACGCGCCGCTTCTGAAATATTTGACCTTTATATCATTCATTAATACAAACGCTGCTCCTGATGGTCTCTTCTCCAGCATCACACAACTGTGGGAATTCGGCATCCTATTTGTTTAAAGTGCTCTTTCTCTTCTGCTATCCTGCCTGTTTTTTGATGGAAAAAAATTTGGCCTCTTCCTCTACCAGTGTCACTGCCCAAAATTCATCCCCGTTTTCTCGTCTTTTTCAGCGTCAGTCAAATCCACACACGCATTGGATTGGGAGCATCACGGATTTTTATGGTTCCTTTTACATCCCACGGCGAATTTTGTGATTCATTTCGGCTGCACAGTGTGCTTTTTCCTACTCGCTCTGCATTCGCATCCCTTGAAGTCGCGCCGCGATGCAACCTATGTGTTTATTCACCTTTGACAATGCGCCTTGTTTGGAACCCCTTCTCTTGACTGCCATGATGTAAACACTGGCACGCATGCGGAACGGTTTGCTTACGACGCACATTTGCAATGAACAATACATTGTTTTACTACTGCGTCATGTTATATCCAAAGCCATGTGATTGCATCCTATTTCCGAATCGAAAATTCCAATTATCCCCGCTATGTTTAGAAGCCGGATATGTCAAAGCATATGCAACTTCCTTGATCATTCTGTTGGTGCAAACAATATCGGAGCATACTGCGGGAACCGGATCGACCGTTTTGGAGATCTCCAGCAATGCATTCACTCGATCGGAAACTGAATTTTCTTGTATGTATGTTCTAACTGCGTCCTAAAGTCGACGCAACTGATTCTGAACGATGTATGTGTGTGTCGCGCGACAAGGAGTGGATTTGGATGTCTGACTTGCCCTTGCGTGCATGCGTCGCATAAGCAAACGCTGCGTCTTTGAGTAGAGGAAAGCGAATTGTGCTAAACCGAATGAAATAGAGGCAGTGCCAACTGCCTCAACTGCGTCAGTGCACGCGTCTGTTTTCACCACCTCCTTGTGCTTCAATCGTGTTATAGAGAAAGATTGCGAAGCTCACATATCTCAGCGAAAATTGCGCAGACTTCGCCAGGCTCTTTTCACTTACAATCACCATGTGGCGATCCAGATTGCGTTAGTAACAACCGAGCCGTCCCTAGGGCATTGATGCTATACCACAGTGAACCAACAGCTCTACTCAGGGCACTGATGTATCCATCATGTCAGGCCACTGCGAACCACCTGAGATCCTCAGTTGCTGCTGCAACAGTTACCGCACAAACCCACACTGACACTGACTTAATTTCCCTGGGGACATTACCATTGGGTGACAACTCTTGCGTCGTCAACGTCAACTTTTCTATATAGTTTGTGCAATGTAGGTGTAGAAGGCATGCTTCGCATTGGCTGTGTCAGTAAAAAACTCTTGCTAACGGCCACTCTTTCTTTCTCGTTCCAGTCTCACTGCAGTCGTGCTAGGTTGCGTGTATTCGTCTCCAACCTCAGCTCGCGTGTACATCTAGTGGCTAGGTCACATTAGTCCGCAACGTTGCAAATTCGCCTCTGGGGTACTATTTTTTAGGAACGTTCGTCCGTTCCGACGAAGAGTCCAAACAACTAGAACGCGTAATAACGGTGAGGAAGAAAGCAGGCGTTGTGAAAGAGATGTGCTTCGTTGTGCGAAGGGAATCATCATCATTATACACGCTAGCTGCAGAAGGAAAACACCTCAGCTAGGGTGCTGCAATACAAAAGAACATAAAAAAGTGAAACAGTGGCACGCCGGCTGCGTCACTAGTAACAGATGGACATCGTTCCGGAGAGCTAACAACCGGCTATTGTGCCGCAAAAGTTCATATAATACCTATTCATTGCGATACTGGTTGGAGTGGCAGACTAAGCGAGTGGAGGGACAAAGGAACTCACAACACAAACGTCATTGAAGTCTGCTCATAGCCAAGTGTATCTAACCAAAAGTCTTCATCATCCTTCCTTCCCCAACCAGGGAGCCGAGTGGCTCCAATCGAGGCTAGCATCGAAGTAAAAGCCTTCATTCCTCTTGACCAAGTCATCGCTTGGCTATCTCTTCTCTTTTTCTATCCACATTCCTGGCGCGCAAAAAACGAACATCGCGGAAGTCGGTGGGATGGCATGCGCAACACGTGGCCCAGCGGTCGGAGCCTGGTGCGTCAAGTAGCGGTTCATTTCCTTTTCCTGTGCAGTAAACCAGGCGTCGAACACGCCCGTTGCTCATACCGTGTTCCCACCAGATATGAGACAAACTGCGAAGTCACCGGTGGTTGCACGTAACGAGCCTCTATGTCGGCTGATTTAATGGGCTAGGTATCATAACCGTATAGCAAGGTCGAACGTACGGCTGCATTGTATACTCTACCCCTTAGGAAGAGAGTGATGTCGCGCCGACACCATAGGTGGCGATGGTTAGCAAAAGGGTCTCTAGCTTTTGCTATACGGTTTTTGACCTCGTCTTCAATTCCAGCGGCGCTGATGCAACTACCTATGTAGTTGAATTTTTGGACGACTAGCCACTCGCCACCAATGATCAGCACACGAGGCGGTCCCTGCCAAGTATGAAGTAAAGCATTGAGCTTCCAGGGTGCAAATCATTGCGCGAAACAGGTGGCAGCCAGTGTTAATCTATCCAGTGCCGCCTGGCACGTTTGGGAGCTGTCACATATGAGGGCAATATCGTCAACATACTCCAAGTCAAGAAGTCGTTCACCTGGGAGTAGCTCTACATCTGAGTCGTGTCCTGTGAACGCGATTTTCATCAATTCGTCAATAGCAAAATTGAATGGAAAGGTGATAGCGGGCATCTTTGTCTTGCACCGCTGCAGATTTTGAAGGCGCGGTAAGTTTGTCATAAGCCCTCACTTTGCCCGAGCTACGCGCGTAAAGCCCTCGCATAATATTTACATACTTCTCAGGAACACCTTTTCTTGGTAGGCAGTTCCAAAGGACACGTCGACCGATTTCCGTCCATAGCTGGTTCGAGGCTGTTGGGCGCCAAACCATCCTCCAGAGTTTGTTGTGTCGATAGTTAGTACTTGTAAGGAATAATCGAGCATCTTCACATGAATGAAGTAAACGCTCACGGTTATCATTACGGGAGCCTACACCATGTTGGTCACTCAGACGCAGTTCATAAGTGGATAATTTTCCAACTTGAAGGTTCAGATCCCCAGCCAGCACTACAGTGCCCGCGCTACTTCTGTGGCGAAGGAACTCGTTAAGTTGACGATGGAAATCGTCTCTCACGGAATCATTACTAGAGTTGGTAGGCAGTGATGATAACCAGACACCTATTAGCCCCGCACCACTTCGAAGCTTTAAACGAGATAGCCAGTTGGACCGCATACATCCGCCAAGGGAGACCGGAGTGGAGCTGTGGTAGAGTTGGAATAATTATTCGAACCAGTGAATTCACTGTGAATGGCATTGGGTTCTTGCTCATCTAACCTGGCTATGCGCACGCCTGTGTTGTCTTCATCTTTTATTTTATTAACTCAATTCTGTTTAATCAACCGCGGGAAACCTGCTTTGAATTTCACGTTATTAGAGTCTACGGATACCTGTTTCACACAATTGTGTAGAGATTAGGAAAGAAATTTGTTCTCCAGCTAGTTTGTGTGTTTTTCGGTTGATAACGTGTTACGTCTTCCTTCCGGCACCTAATTCAATGCGCGAGTTCGAAACTGCGCATGGGGTCGTGGGACGCTCGTGGTATTCTTAGCTCACACGCGACTGTTGGTGGTCCCGCAGCAGTGCAGCGTCGGTACTGCGTACCGGCGTACTGCTAACACCTTACGTCTATTATTTATATTGTAATTAAGGGAAGATCGAATTACTGCCTCGTTTTCTGAGGCTAAGACCCGTTGGTGGATCATATCAGACATTAAGCTCAGGATGAGTTTTGGTCTTATCCAGTGGCGTTTGGTTTTCATCTCGCAGTAATGATCATAATACGTAAGATTTCCAGTTTCACGTTTAGTAAAAGAGCGCAGTGCTATCGAATTTATGTAAATATTTTTTTTGGATTTATGCGAAACGAATGGTTATAATATCATCCCTCACAGTTTACGGGCTTTTGCAGCTGTTACTGCACATGTTTGGGCAAAATTGAAACAACTCAGTACTGCAGTCCAAAATCACGAATTATGTGATAGATGGACAGTGTCTTACCGTTAAGTGTCAATAAATTTTTTGTAATACTGCACCGATAGCATATGGTTTCACTTGCGGGATGAGATTTCCATTTTCTAGTTACTCCGCTAGGTTTCCAACTCGTTCAAATCCGTTTCTATGCCGGTTATGTCGCTAACGATGTTGCTCGAATCGAATTTCTCTACGATTTTGATGTCATCAGCGAATACATATCGTTTGCCTATGTGCTGACTTTGTAAAGGTCGTTGATGCACACCAAAACAAATGAGGAGAGAACAATTACTTGGACCGCACCACTTATAACTTTCTTGTGAGACTATTGTTTTTCATCTTATTGTTTGATCTCAATTAATAAGCCCTAAAATCGAGAAAAGTAGGGATTCTTATATTTTATGCTGTATTCTTGCACTCCGCTTGGACTCACTGCACCCACTTGTAATATTAAATAAATCCGAGGTAAATCCCACTGTGAAATGGTTAGTTTTAATTAACAAAATGTAATTGGATGAGTGCGTCATCCAACCGTCTTTTAACTATTGTTGCTGTCGATGCAGGAACGACTGGTTCAGGGACGGAATTCCACGGGTGACACACATGAATAGAAAAGCAATTTTCGCGGCACTCTTGACGGCTGTATTTTTCTGCTAATTTCAAGGAGTGGCCTCTCAGGTTTGTACTACTGATTTGCATTAATTAGCGACACATGTGATGTGAGTTGTGCTGAATCAAGTAGGCCATTATCTGGTCACCTCGCAATCGGTGATACCGTCCGCTGAATACTCCCAAACGTTGTAGCCTTTGCTAGTAGTGGAGATTGTGCGTTCCTATGATGTATTTGGAAACTCGGCTCTGAGGTTGCCCCAGTGCAGTGAGGTCATGGTTCACCCATGGATGCCACACTTGAAATGCGTATTCGACATACGCTCGAACACACGCACTGAGCATCTATCGCAAAATAGTGATGTCTATTTGTACGAACGCCCGTAGCAACAGCGCGACATGTTGCTTGCCAGTTTTCGAGGCCTTTTCGGATTGTCTGGAGCGACCGAACTCATCTTGAACCAGCACACCCATATGATGTTCGACGGACGATTGCTGCCGTACATACGTTCCGAGCCTGCGTGAGTAGTTAGTCTTGGGTCGTATGGAGTGTACTTTGCATCTACTCAAGACAAGTCAAATCCACGTAAGCTTTATCCATCCGTATAGGTGCATTTCCAGCATTTTTATGCAAACACTGCGGAGTATCATACAACAAGTG